AGTCAATATTGGGGGATCGAATAAATGAACCATTCTGTCTCCTGCTTCTCAACTTGGAATGTGCATAATCCCAGGGAAATGCAACGGAGCCCCAAGGATTCATTAATCTATGACATACTTTTTTTTTTAACATCCATCACTACACATAGTTACAAAATTTTTTTTCCTTATGATGCAAATTTTAAAGATCTACTCTCTTAGCAACTTTCAAATACGCAATACGGTAGTACTAACTATACTTACCATGCCGTACCTTACGTCCCCAGGAGTTATTTATCCTGTAACAGGAAGTGTATACCTTTTTTAAAAATTTTTTATTGTTATGTTAATCACCATACATCACCATACATCATTAGTTTCAGATGTAGTGTTCCATGATAAGGAAGTGTATACCTTTTAACTACTTTAACTTAGCTCTGGCAACCACTAAAATATTTTCTGTATCTAGGAGTTCATTTTGGGTTGTTTTGGGTTTTTTTGTTTTAAGATTCCACATATAAGTGAGATCATAAGGTATTCGTCTTTCTCTGTCGTATTTCACTTAACATAATGCCTTCAAGATCCATCCATGTTGTTTCAAATGGCATAATTTCCTTCTTTTTTTTTTTAAGATTTTATTTATTTATTTATTTGAGAGAGAGAGCATGAGCAGGGGGAGGGGCAGAGGGAGAGGCAGACTCCCCACTGAGCAGGGAACCTGATGCGATGTGGGACTTGATCCCAGCACCCTAGGATCATGATCTGAGCCAAAGGCAGATGCTTAACTGACTGAGCCATCCAGGCACCCCGATTTTTAATGGCTGAGTAATACTTATGTATATATGAATTCATGTATATATACCACATTTTTTTTATCCATTCATTCACACACACAGTGGGGAGAGGGGGGCGCAGCCTGGCTGGGAGGGGGCTGGAGACTCTGTGGGGGGGGGCACAGCCTGGCTGCCCCCTCCCAGCCAGGCTGCACTCCCCCCCCAACTCCTGCTGTGGGGGAGTTCGACACAGAAGTGAAGGTTTCTGTGCTCAGGATGACCTGGATCTCCACCATTAGTCAGTGTTTAAATCCTTCTGTGGAAAAAAAATTAAATTAAAAAAAATCCCTCTGTGGAGAATAATTCAAAGATGTTGAAGGGTGAATTAATATTTTTAAAAAAGTTAATGGTGGGGCGCCTGGGTGGCTCAGTCATTAAGTGTCTGCCTTTGGCTCAGGCCATGATTCCAGGGTCCTGGGATCGAGCCCCGCATCGGGCTCCAGCCCCGCATCGGGCTCCCTGCTCGGCGGGAAGCCTGCTTCTCCCTCTCCCACTCCCCCTGCTTGTGTTCCCTCCCTCACTGTCTCTCTCTCTGTCAGATAAATAGATAAAATCTTTAAAAAAAAAAAAAAGTTAACGGTGTAAATTAGGTATCTCAAATTCTAGCACCTACAGAGACAAGGTAGATAATGTAGATGCATATGTAGAGCAGGGTGGGGTGCAATTGGGGCTGATAGGATCTGTGAAAAACTAGAGAGCAGGCACTCCATTAAAGAGAGGCAGAAGCTTCTCGGCCTCAACAGATTTTAATAGGATGAGAATGAGAGTCTATTTTGACAGATTCTTTCTTTTTTTTTTTTAAAGATTTTATTTATTTATTTGAGAGAGAGAATGAGATAGAGAGAGCATGAGAGGGGGGAGGGTCAGAGGGAGAAGC